TTGATCATCTTGAACCTAACTCAGCTGTTTCCTTATGTTTCAGATTATGTAAAGGAGGTGAACTGCTGGACAGGATATTGGCTAGGTACCTGTAGAGTCAACATTAAAATAATTTTCAACAGCTCTAAGGATTTATTCTGCTAGGGTTGTGATTTGAATTTTCTTTCCTTGCAGAGGTGGAAAGTACTCTGAAGAGGATGCGAAGCTCGTTATGGTACAAATTTTGAGTGTTGTATCATTTTGCCATCTTCAAGGTGTTGTTCATCGTGATCTGAAACCAGAGGTATGTTGCTAGGAAACTTTGACAACTTGTTGCGATATTCGTATCATTGACCTGGAATTTTTTTTATGTTACACTGGTACTGAACGTAAACTGCCACTGGATACCATAACTATTATGCTGTTTTTCCTGTGTATTTCTTATTCTTTCCGTAATACTAATATTGCTTAGTCAATGCAGTTCTCTCTCTCTCTCTCTCTCTCTCATGTATGGTGATTTATGTATTTGTTCATTCCTTTTCCAGAATTTCCTTTTCTCTTCAAAGGAAGAAAATTCCCCCTTGAAGGTCATAGATTTTGGCTTGTCTGACTTTGTGAAGCCAGGTTGGTCTTATTTAGTTACATGAGGATTCATGTGTACTATTTATCCTTGCCAGATTAAATAGCTGCAGTGGGTCATAATGCCATCATTTTGTTCTGCAGATGAAAGACTAAATGACATTGTTGGAAGTGCATACTATGTTGCTCCAGAGGTGCTCCACAGATCTTATGGCACTGAAGCAGATATGTGGAGCATTGGAGTAATTGCCTACATCTTACTATGTGGGAGTCGACCTTTCTGGGCACGCACGGAGTCGGGAATCTTTCGAGCTGTCTTGAAGGCGGAACCAAGTTTTGATGAGGCCCCATGGCCCACTCTCACAGCTGAAGCTAAAGATTTTGTAAAAAGGCTTCTTAATAAGGATTACCGCAAGAGAATGACGGCCGCGCAAGCTCTCAGTAAGTTCAAAATTAGCTTTGCATTGCACTGTTGCACACTGCTATCCTGCTGTGAAGATGCTTAGCACTTTTCTCAAATAAATGATAACTGCAGGTCATCCATGGATCCGTAATGCTCAACAAGTGAAAGTTCCTTTGGATATGATAATCTATAAGCTAATGAGAGCTTACATCAGTTCGTCTTCACTGCGGAAGTCTGCTTTGAGGGTATGCATAATCAAACTTTAGAAAGAGCATGTCTAGGAACTAGGATTCCTTTTTTTTTTCTGTAGATGAATGTTCCCTTTGCATACCTTGAGCTGATGGTATGCACAGCTTAGTAAATTGTATGTTGCTAATTATTTCTATGAATTCTGCAGGCCCTAGCCAAGACGCTGACAACGAACCAACTCTTTTATGTAAGGGAGCAGTTTGAATTGCTGGGCCCAAACAAGAATGGTTATATCTCATTGCAAAATCTGAAATCGGTTAGTAACTAATTTTACCTTTTGCACTTAACTGTATTTTTTTTCTCTTTCACTGTGCAATTGCTCAAAGGTAAATGGAACACACAGGCTCTAGTGAAGAACTCCACAGATGCAATGAAGGACTCTAGGGTTGTTGATTTTGTTAACACCGTAAGCCACCCCCAGACTACCCTCTAGTATTTGCTTTAGTGTTGGTATATGAGATAACCTAAACCACTTACCCTGCTTTTCACATTACCAGGTGTGCACTCTTCAGTACAGAAAATTGGATTTCGAAGAGTTTGCTGCTTCTGCCATCAGTGTTTACCAGATGGAAGCCTTGGAGACCTGGGAACAGCACGCTAGGCGCGCATATGAACTGTTTGATAAGGAAGGGAACCGGCCTATTGTGATCGAAGAACTTGCATCGGTATGATTCCATCTGTTCAGACAATTGGTGGCCATGCATGGCATGATGTTAGTTGTTCACTGAACATCGCTTATATTCATATCTCTGGTTTGCCAGGAACTCGGACTTGGCCCATCAGTGCCTCTTCACGTTGTCCTCCAAGACTGGATCAGACATGCCGACGGGAAGCTGAGCTTCCTGGGATTCATAAAGCTCTTGCACGGGGTTTCGTCGCGCTCAATCCCGAAGGCCTAGCATACACCATCCATCCTTGCATATCCATATCCATCAACCAAGGAGATGACCGATGGCTAAGCCAATCTCTGGCTGGTGCGTGTGCGTGTTCTGTTCAATGGTGGCTGGAGGGTGGACGGCCTGAGACCAATGCAATGATGAAGAGAAATGCCTGATAGTCCTGTGTAGTAAGAGTAAGGCAACAGAAGGCCTGATACTTGTGCCTTATATACCACTTGTACCCCCATCCCTTGCCACGTGGATTGTTGACGCGTCGTCGTCGTTGTTGTACCGAAGTAAGCTGTTGTGTAGACGAGTGTACAGATGAGGATAGGAAAAAAATGAATATGATGGAAGGGCCGAAAGATTTGCGACTGCTGTTTGTCAATGCCATTATGCCAATGCCTACAGCTGTAGCTGTGTCTAGCTCTCCTTTGTCTGCATCATCAGAAAACAGTAACGTCGCACCGCGTTACTGCAGAGTTTGCAAAATGCCTCGTCAATGCTCGTCTCTGTTCATGGCGACGACGGCGCAGGCGCTGTACGTGGACTTGCTTGCTCATGGTGTGTACGAGTACGATGCCGTGAATGCAGCGGTGTCGCCACCGCGCGCGGTTTGGGAGGGAGCACGGCGCTGGTCCTGACGTACGTACGGCGGAGCAGGTCCGGTCAAGCTCAGACGCCGGGTCCTGACGTACGTACAGCCAGAGCGGCAGGAGGACCACACGGCCGTGCACCCAACCTCTCACCGAGCTAGAGAGAGAGTCAAACTACCACGTAGTAAATAGGAAAAACCTCCTCACATTATGGTATATAGCCGGAATATGGCTTAGTGTCTGTTACCAGAAAAGTATAATACAAGGCAAAGTTAACAAATACTAACTATACAGGCTGTTCTTTAGTCATTATTATGTCTGTGAATTGATGCGTTGACACGAAGAGCCCAAACTTGTTTAAAATGTCAATCTCAATATGTTTCGTGTCACGGTGATGAACATGTGTTGCCTGGCATGAGCCAACAACACTCAGCACTTAGCATGATTAACGGCATAGTACTCCGCCTCTGCACTGGAACGAGAAACCACGATCTGTCGCTTGGATGACCAGGACACCAAATTATCACCGTCACCGAGAAAGACGAAGTTCCAAGCAGAGTCAAACTCTATCTCTACCCAGCAATGGTCAAAATAGAATAGCATCAGCCATCTGTTCCTCAAGAGCCTGACCCTTATCACTTATCAGCTACTGTAACTTGTCTGGATGCCCGGGATTGTTTTACAGCCGCGTGTGGGTGAGTAAATCGGCTGGGCGTTTTGGCATGTGGTACCATTTGAAATGGACAAGACACACAGCTTCGATCGGATTGACGCTTTGTTTGCTTTCCTGTTTGGATGTATTTGTATGGTACTGTAAAACTTGATGACGCTTGGAACGGACGGACAGGCACAGTTCAGTGTTGGTGTCCTACTGTACTTGGAGAGCAGGCGGCACATAAATCGGTGAAACCGTCTTGGTGTTTTTTCTCTTTTTACCGTTGCGATGCATGCATTCTGAAGAAAAGGGAAGGGGGAGGGGAGACTGAAGTGGAGAGTGAGAAGAGAGAGACAGGCAGTGTGTGTACTTGGCAAACTGAAAGTTGTTTCTTTTGCATCTTAAAAGGCTTGGAGAGGTGCAGACGTGCAGTGCATGAAAACTCGGATCATGGCAAATGATGGAGATCTTTCGGTGTTTGTTGATTGGCATGCAGAAACCTAACACTGCGGTCTGGAGTGCAGTGTATCGAAAGACATAGCTCAGGGGTCTCAAAAGACAGAAACAGGGAAGCCAGAATAAATGGAGGAAAAACAGGTTCAGGGTCTCAAAAAACACAAACTGGGAAAGCCAAACACAAAGGGACAAAAATCGGTTTATATCTCAGGGGTCTAAAAAAAACAGAAACAAGGAAAGCCAGAAAAAAAAGTGCAGAAACTGGGAAAGCCAAAAAAGGGAACAAAAAAAAGGTTCAGGGTCTCAAAAAACACAAACTGGGAAAGACAAACACAAAGGGAGAAAATTCGGTTTATATCTCAGGGGTCTCAAAAAACATAAACAAGGAAATCCAGAAAAAATGGAGGAAAAATTGCAGAAACTGGGAAAGCCAAAAAAATAAGAAATGGAGATGCGGGGTATCGATCCCCGTGCCTCTCGCATGCTAAGCGAGCGCTCTACCATCTGAGCTACATCCCCATGGGTGACAGGGAATTTAAACAGTTACAAATCATAGGTTTGTCAGATGCTCTACACTCAGGATCGTTTCCACTCATCGCCGAGGTAGCACGTAGAGGTGGGCAAAAAAACCGCTATCCAATCCCCGGACCCCGAAGCATTGATGCTAACATTGCGTCACCATACTATCCAATGTAAATGTGAGTACACAGAGATATTTTATTTGAATGAAATACAAGAAGCTTGATCGACATATTTAATTTGCAAATACATGGTTCAACAAAAAGATACATTGAGCGATTCAAAAAAAAAAAAAAGATACATTGAGCCCCGCTCCAGCGCATCAGGTGCCGTTTAGAACGCTACGGACGCGTGGACGGCATCATCCTGTAGGTGCTGTACGGGAGACGGCGTCCACCGCTGTGTCCTCTCGCTCTCGGCCTAGTTGCTCTCCACGTCTCCACGTCTCGGCCGGCGGCACAGGTTACGTGTCGCCGCGCGGAGCTTGCTCTATCCACGCAGCACAGCAGGCGATCGATCCTGCTCGCGCTCCTCACTGGTGATGATAACAGAGAGTCAGAGAGACGTCCACTGCACATCCATTAAAAGTTAAGAAGGCAAAGGAGCGACTGCGAGGCTCGTCTTCGTGTATAGTTGCGCAACTGAGCAAGAGCAGGCGAAGCAAGCGAAGAGGCCGCGTCGTCGTCATGGATCTGGTGAACGGCGTGCTCAACTGGGTGGGGACGCCGGCGATGGTGGCCAGCCTGCTGCTCTTCTACCCGCCCTACTACCTCTTCAAGACGTGCTACTCCTTCCTCTCCTGGCTCTTCCCCGAGGACCTCACCGGCAAGGTCGTGCTCATCACCGGTGCTTCCTCCGGCATCGGCGAGGTGACACCCACACACCCACTGTCTGTCTTCTACTGATTGTTACTACAGTACTACTGATATTATGCAAGGCCACAAAACGTGGACTACTTTTCTTTACCTGCTCATCGATCAGTTTTGCGTGTTTAGATTGCCTTGCGAGTGTTCATGTTCCTCGCATCTTATTTACTGTTTAATTGTCCATTGCTCTTTGAATCACCACGGGATTAGGATCTACTGGTACAGATTATATTATTATTGACCATAAGTCCATCCTTAATATAACGACTAGTAGTGTCACATCATGAGGATGTTCAGGTGCTCTCTGTGTCGAGTTTTGACCAATACTAGTTAGATTCAGCTCATTTGTGTTCTCTGCAGCAACTGACCTACCAATACGCGTTGAAGCGGGCCTCTCTAGCCCTCGTCGCTAGAAGGGAGTCGAGCCTCCGGCAGGTCGCCGACCGAGCACTAGAGCTCGGCGCGCGCGACGTCATCGTCCTCCCGGGCGACGTCTCTGCCCCCGATGACTTGTGAAAGCTAGGTCTGTCGTTGCAAGCTTTTCCTTTGTCTGTTTCAGTGGACCATCTAGTGTGCAATGCCGGCATCGCGAGCGTAGGCGCGTTTCAGGAGATTCCAGACGTCACAAAATACAGCTCTCAGCTTGTAATGTTTCCTAAATCCCTGGGGCTGGCCTTGTTTGTTTGCTTTTCATTTCCTAGATAGATAAATATATATGCGCAGGTGCTGAACTGATCTACTTGGTTCTTCAGGACGTCAACTTCTGGGGTTCTGTTCAAACGACGTTCGCTGCCCTGCCTCATCTGAAGAGGAGCCGAGGGAGAATCGTGGTGACTGCATCTGCAACCCGATGGAATCCAGTTCCTAGAATGAGCTTCTATAATGTAGGGAATTTCTTTCATCCGCTCAACTGATTTCATTTCAGCATGTTGGAATGACTTGGAAATTCTATCAGTTTCATGTGTATTTGTATTTGTCTACTACATGTTCAGGCTGCCAATGCTGCCCTCATAAACTTCTTTGAGACGCTGCGGACCGAGCTGGGAAACCAAGTCGGGATCACGGTGGTGACGCCCGGGTGGATCGAGTCCGAGATGTCGAAAGGGAAATACCTCAAGGAGCATGGCGAAGTGGAGGTTGATCAAGAAATGCGCGACGTGAGTGACAACACTGATATATACTCAGCTGATGAAGTGATGATGAGCTCTGCGATCGTGTTGGAACTAATTACACATTGATATGCTGATGACGAGCATGGCTATGCGTATTTCAGGCTCAGATTGGTCTGTTCCCGGTGGAGTACGCCAAGAACTGCGCCAAGGCCATGGTGCAAGCGGCGCAGCAAGGCGAGCCATACCTCACCGTGCCGGCGTGGTTCGGGGCGATGTACCTGTGGCGGGTGTTCGCGCCAGAGGTCGTCGAGGCCTGTTACCGCCTCCTGTACATGCACGGCCATGGCGCCAGGCAGGCCGACACGGCAAGCAGGACGATGGCCGAGTCTGGCGGCAAGCAGCTGCTGTACCCGACCCCGCTGCATGCGCTCTGTGGAGATCAAGAGTGACTGAGGTCAGGTCCTGTGAGTGCATGAAATGCAACAAACTCTGTTGGACCTTTGGACATCAGCTGTGTGTATGTGTGCAGTTGAATGGTCCCATGGAGTGAGTGAAGTATAGAGCTCTAGACGAACGCAGTTGTGGTCATGTTAATATATGCTGTGTACCTTGATAATGAATAAGCTATGCTTATGGAGGTGCTCTGGTTTTGCTTCTCCTGCTGAACGAAGTTGCCACAGGTTTGGTGTGCTCTGCACCTCCTTTTTCAAGGTGTTCATGACTTTTTCAAGGTACAAGAGCTTTTTTGAGGTACTTAATGGCGATTGATGAAAACTGAAACTTCTAAGTTTTTAATTTAGGAGGCTTGAAGAGTTGAGGTAAAATTTGTAGCTGTTTAGAGTAAAATAATTGTATATATAGGCCCCGTTTGGATCCTTGAATTGAATTCATTTTAAGAATCATAATTTTGACACATATTAACTCAGCTAATATGGTTGTATATGGATATATTTGTATATTATTGTTGGCTAAACGAGAATGATACTTATGTGTTGTATTTCTACCATAGGGGAGCAAGTTGAAGAGCGTGTTATAAGTTGCAAATTAAAAACATAGTATAATGATTTATAGAATCAATTTCCATCTCTTATCCTATGAATTTGAGATAGACTTATATAAATATATATATGAACTTTGGACAGTGGTGGAATATTAAAGTCCAAGCCAAATAACTTAATTTATTAAGTAGATTTTAATTCCTCCAAACGAAAGGATCCCCCTTAGAATTATTAGATCTTATAATTTCGAATTTATAATTTTCAAACGATTTCAGATGTTAACATGGTCTATAGCAAAGTTGCATATCTCAATGCGATCTGGAGCTTTGTAGTGGATATAATTATTTTTTGTTTAACGTTGTTTAGAATATCAAATGTATGTTCTAAATTTTAGATTTTAAAATTTAAATTGAAAATTTTCCAAAAAAATTTGTAGATGGTAACATAGTCTACATCAATGTTGCAGATCTCAATGCGATCTCAAATTGTAGTTGATAATTATTTCTAAAGTTATTTAGAATATCAAATATATGTTTTAAATTTTTAGACTTCAATTTAAATTGAAAATTTACCGAATAACATCACATGTTGATATGGTCAATATTAAATTATAGTGGTAGCTGCTATCTGCAACTTGTAGTGGACTACTTTTTTTTTGCCTTGATAGCTGCTATCTACAACTTGTAGTGGACTACTTTCTTTGGCCTTGACTCTGTTCGCGACCACTTATTTGACTCAATTATAATCATCGTACCGTGATATTTTTTTTATTCTTAATTATGCTAGTTTAAAGTTTAGAAAGCGGCGGTTAAAAGAATCAAACATAATCGAAAGCGGCGATCAAAAGAATCAAACACACTCGAAGTGTTTGGTGAGATTCTTGCTTTCTCACACCAACAATCGGATTATAAGCTAGAACAGGTCCCTTATCATGTTAGCCGTGGAAGGCTAGTTTCTCTAGTCTAGTGTTTTTCCATAGGAGGGGTTCTTCTCCTTATTACTTTTTATTGTTCATCTTTTTTCTCTTAGGTGTAACATCTTGTGTTTCTGTGTAATAAAAATCCCGACTTTCAAAAAAATTTCTGATGAATGTGTGTTGCATGTAACGTGTAGTCAACTTAAGTCAACCTTTTTCCTACTAACCCTAATTTTCCTCAATCTTATTCAACTGAATTTACAATAATCTTGTGCACCATTTAGAGTAAGATGCACGTGTGATTTGATTCTTGTCCATCTTGTTGTGCTTGGAGGTAGCCCTTCTCCTAAAATCCTTGTATAGGAAATAGAAAACCTCTCCTTAATTCCTTGGGCCAAAGCTCCCTCCTATACCTGCCTCCAGCCTATCTCGTGGCCTCCCTCTTGGCCGCACGGCCAGCAAGCAGGCTGCATGAGCGTGCATGCTCCTCTGCCCCTTCCTTAGTTACGTGAAGCATCCAGCAGCGCAGCACGTATCACGTTCATGCATGCTCCTGTGCCGACTTCGTTAATTAATTACGTGAGTCCCTCTGCATCCCTGAAGTTCTCCAATTAGAGCAGGCACGTCACGAGCTCAGCCCGGCCCAATCCGCCTCCCTCTCCTTAGGCCCAGCAGTGGGCGCCTGCAGCCACCCTGCCGCTCACGAGCGCGGCATGCGCATGACGGAGTCGCCGCCCACACCCGTCATCAGAGCACAGCGCCGCCATCTGGGCCCCTCCTGGCAGCCTCAGGAGTGCAGGATGCCCAGGCCATCTCACGCCCGCACTCGATGAACGGGGCGCCATCTATGGGGCCCACTTGCCACCAGTAAACCAGATGGGAGTCGCTGCCTCCGTCTCGCGCCGGTACCCCTCCGTCCGCTTCCATCGCCCCTCCGTCAAGAACAGAGTCGTCTTCTTCCTCCGTACACGCGACACTCCTCTGCTTCCGTCCGAAGTCGAGCGCTACCGTCCCGTCTCCCGTCGCTGCGACCGCACGCCAGTTGGACCCACCAAGCCACGCACCGTGCCGCGATTTGCTTAGCGCCCGAGCCCTACCTACCCTTGACCGCGCGGGCGCGCCCTGCGTTTGTCCGGACTCGCCGTTCTCGAAGGTTCCTGAGCCCCGACACCCAGATGGTCGCCACGTCGCGTTGGCCATCACATCAACGGCACGGACGCCGGTGTCCCCCTCGCGAACCCTAGCCGGCGGGCTATAAAACCCCACGTCGAGCCCTTGCCCTCATCATCTCCCTCTCCCCCGCCACCACTGTGCCTCTCCCTGCTTCAATCTCGCCCTCGCCGCAGCAAGCAATCACCGCAGGCGCCACGGCCGAGCCGACGTTCGCCCGGCAGTCTCCGCAGCCGTACATCGTCGAGCCGTTCGAAGGACCAAGCCATGGCGGAGCTACGTCAGCCGACAACTTCTTCTCCGCCACCGCGCCTTCGGTACGCGACGCACGACGCCGACACGATGTGAAGCCGAGCTCGCCGTCACGCCAGACCTAGGAACCACGGCGAGTCGGTCTGGCCTCGCCTCCTCCCTATGCCGTGCGATCGACGACCTTCATGTTAGGATTGATCTCATCCGACTCAGTCCAACGACTGAGTCGGACCCCTTGACCGTGTCCTGATCGGGGACACATGACCGACCACTGGTCAGCGGGCCCCTGTCACACAGCGCTATAAGAGAGAGGTGGGGGCAGGGCGCTAGATACGAGGTTCGACGCTGCCACTGACCCACTGAAGTAACCCTAGAAGGCCCCTCCGATCATGGGCAGCGCTGCAAGTGACGGGAAGCCCCGCCGGCAGCGCCCCCATCCTCTAGACTCCACCGCGCCTACACTGCCACGACATCAGCGGCCACATCGCTGCGGCACCATGGATGTAACTGCACTAGGGCGAGGTACATGAACAAGTTTCCCCATCTAAGTCAAGTTTATCCCCTGATCTACGATTTTAGAGGTTATATTCTCTATCAATGGTATCAGAGCCAGGTTTTCTAGTGTGTAGATTTAGATCAGAGTAGTAGCAGCAATTAGAAAGATGAGAAAGATCCGATTCGGATCGAAGTAAAGGGCCCCTAACCCCAACCCTAGAAGGGGAAGAACAACTGAAGAAAAGAGTAGTAGTGGTTTTGGCCAAACCCTAATCGACTCTAACCCGAACCCTAACCCACGTAGATCCATTCGGGGAAGAAAAATAGTAGCAGAGGTTTCACGTCGAACCCTAACACTAATCCAACCCGACCCAAACCCTAACCCTAGATCGGACTTGCTCCGGGAAGAAGAGAAAAGAAGATCCAAATAGAGAGAAAAAGAAGGGGAAAAAGGGAAGGGCTAGGGAGGCGGCCTACCTCACCGGCCTCCACTCACTGGAGTACTCCGGGAAGGGCTCCACGCCGTGCTAGGGCATGGCTCCACGCTGCGCTAGGGCGCCGCCACCAGGCTGCTCGACGGCGATGCGCTCACCTGTTGGGGAGCGCACGCGCCGGCGTCGGCGCCATTCCTCCACCGCGGGCACCTCGGTCGCTGCCGCTGAGAGAGAGAAAGGGAGAGAGAGAGCACGGAGTCAAGGGCACCGTTGCCTAGACCACTGACGGCGGGCGAGGGGACCGGTGGTGGCGCTACTCTGTTGTGCCTCTTGCTCTCCACCGAGGCGCTGAGGAAAAAACAGAAAGTGAAGAATGAAATGGGTTTAGGGTTTCAGCGGAGCGGCATGACGCGGTGTTTTGTTCAGGCGAGACGCGCGGACGACTATCGGATGGGATCCAACGGCTGATGGAGGATGGGCCATATTTGGCCCAGGCGGGGCAGCGGAATCTTGACCCAGGCCCAGGTTGCGGCCTGGGCGCGGGGGAGGAGCTGTGCGCGTGTGCGTAGTGGGCCGATTTCGCGGCTCTAGGCCATGCGCGTGGACAAGGGCCGTGGTTGTTTCATCAAGTCTAGGCCAAATGAATAGTGAACTCCGAGTTTATGTTTTATTCTTTCTCAGAAGCAAAATTTTGATGATTTTTGTCTAGTTTAAATCTCTATCAAAATTTGAACCAACGGGATAATTTTTTAGAGAGTAGATGAGAAAAGTTAAATGCTTCTGAAAAGTAGATAAATAATTTTTTCATGTTTCCGCTGCAAAGTTTAATGTTGATTATCTTCTAATTAAATTCGAACCAACAGGAGAATTTAGTTTGAAGAGTAGTTATATTTAGTAAATTATGATTATGTTTATCCTCTAATTAAATTGGAACCAATGAGAAAATTTAAATTAGAGGAGTAATCCATTTTTGGTTTAAATAAGATTATGGTATTGTCATTTTCTTACCAACGTTGATGATGATAATATTATAATGAGTTTAAGTTTGAAGTTTAAATCTCTGATAAATTTTACACCAACGTGATCAATTTTTTCAGAGAGTCGATAAGCACCAAGAAATATTTCTGAACTAAAAGAATGTATTTCATTATCAAGTTTCCGCTGCAATGATATTGATTATCTTC